TTAAAACAGAACAAAACAGTTAAAAAACAATTTAAAGAAATACAGATTTCAAAGCAAGTCCACTGGAGATCTTCACTGTCTATCTGTCTCTAGTTTCTTACAAATAGTTGTCCCCATCTTCACCCACTTTATATACTTATTGCATATTATAGAACTAATCAAATCATTACAGGATGATGAAGGCTTTTTAGGTCTTCAAGATCTAACATTAGGGAAGACAATAATAACTACCATCGCATCTCTCATTCTCTTCATGATAGCTGTCCCCATCTCTACATATGCTGAAATTGAACTCAAGAGACCAGACTAATGTCGTTCTAATCAGTGAACAATAGTATTGCTAGAATTTATATCATAATACTACAAAATTAGCCTTGGGTTTCTTAGCGTCTCTTCTTCAGAGTATCTGTTCATTACATCTTGCATTATACAATCTGTTCCCGTAAATAATTAAAAAAAAACTCATGTGTGAATTTCTACATATATATCTATCCTCTCTGTATTATAGGGAAAACCAAGTCATAGCAAGACAGCAAAACAAATTCCTAGAAAAACATGCAATGGATAAGACATGTAAGACCACAATATAGATGATCTTCTGTAGTTACTATGTTTTCCCTTGTTATTTTCAATAGATTTGTCCACAACACCGGCTTAATATAGTTAAACATAGTATTACCTATTTTTATTAAAATTCAACTTTGATAGCATTGTAGGATTTGAGAGCTGTTACTAGTTAATACCAGTATGGATATCCTTTACATCTTGTCATCTTCAGAGTAGTTGCCTCTACTTTTAGGGTTGATACTAACAAGCATACCAAATTCAAATAAAATCAGCCAAGGCCAACCCATAGTCTTATGATTCAGATTCAATTAAGATCAGTCATAGTAAGACAATGTAAGTAATACAGGATTTCAGTTTAAGTTAATAGGAAAGTAAGGATAGTTACCATGGTATAACCTGCTATTTTTGGGTCAAGATGTCTGTGCCCTCAAATCTGACATGAGTGGACAGACCAGAACAAATTAAATTCAAACTAAATATGGCAATGAGACTACTGTGTCTTTTAAATCCTTATACACCATTAACAATGACCTCTGCCTTTTTAAATAGTGTTTCAGAGCTGTCTATACTAAAGACTATAGCTTAACGTCTCTGCCTCATGTCTGCTACTCCACTTTTCTGCTATAATTTGTCCACCTTATTCCCTCATTCCTCTGTCTGCCTCGTTCATTGAGGCCGCTCTGCCACTGTTGCTGGAATCCTGGTATCCCTTCCTCTCTTTCTCTGTAATGTCCTTCAGCACTCTCTGTACGGTTGGATTGGTGGCCACAAACTCCCACAGTTCTTCCTTGTCTTGGAAGCATCTTATTTCTCCATTAATTTTGAGAGAGAGTTTTGATGGGTATATGAGCCTTGGTTGCATATTATTTTCTTTCAGGAATTGGAATATTTCTCCCCACTCCCTTCTTGACTTAAGAGTTTGTGTTGATAAGTCTGCTGTTATTTTGATAATTTTCCTGTTGTAGGTAATCTGCTTCTTTTCTCTGGTTGCTTTTAATATTCTGTTCTTTTGGTGGATTTCTGGAATCTTGATTATTATATGTCTAGGCATAGATCTGTTTTGGTTGTAGGTAGCTGGAGTTCTGTATGCCTCTTTTATCTGGATATCATTTCTTTTTGCTATACATGGGAATTTTTGCTTTAATATATCTGTGAATATTCTTTGTATTTCATTTTTGGTTGCTCCTGCTTCCTCACTCACATTCTTTATTCTTAAGTTATGTATCTTTTTGTCATCTTCTAGCCATTGAATTGTTTCTTTCTGGCTCCTTGTTATTTTTAAGAGGCTTTTTCTTTCATGATCATATGCCATAAATCTCTCTTCAAGTTTCAGAAGGCTGTCTTTAGTTTCTGTCAAGGCATTTTGCCAGTGTTCAATGGAGTTTGTAGTTTCCTGGTAATCTCTTTGGATCTGTTTCATGTATTCTAAGTTATGTTTAAATACTTCTTCAGAAGTTTCTCTTTCTTTTCTGAGTTCCTCAGTTCTTCGATCTGTGTTCTCTTGGGCGGGGCTTGTCATTTCTTTAATTAATCTCTTTATATCTTGCCTCACTTGGATCAGGAGTACAGCTTTAAATTCATCTATGAGGTCATGAAGGTATTTTTTTTAATTTTGGCTGATGCTCTGTTGAGTATTGGATGGTTACCGTGCTTGTTATCTTCAGTGTTTACTTCTCCTGGGCTTATTTTCTCATGTTGGGCAGCTGGAGATTTTTTTTTTTAATCTCTTGTCATGTTTCTGGATTCTTTCAGACTGGAGTGTCCTGGGGGTCTCTGGTCCTCTCTGTATTGCTTAGGGCCTTTCAGAAGCATGCTGACTTGATTTTTTGCTGTCCTCCCCAATTTGCTGTTATCTGGGGTAGGCTGGGATGCAGGGGTGGTACAGGCTAGTCTCCAGCCTCTGCGCCAGTCAATCCGTAAATTAGGCTGTACTTTCTGGATGTCACTGAGTTGTGACTATTTTGTATCTGCTTATTGGGCCCCAAGCAGAGGCTTGGTTTAGCCCCAGTAGCTCCTGCCAGTTCTCTCTGTACCAAAAGCAGCTGACTAATGTTACTGTGGCACAGCATTCTGCCCAAATCCCATCTGTTCTCTTCCATACCTCTCTGTGACAGGAGCACCAGGACAGCAGGTCTGCCCAAATCCAAGATGTCTTCCACTAGTTCTCTGTATGACACTGAAGCCAGTACAACATCAGGCTCTACCCAATTTCAAGATGTCCTCTGCCAGACCTCCCTACAAGGTGACTTGGTGATGTCACTGAGCTGTAGGTTCTGCCCAACTCTAAGATGTCTGCCACCAGACTCTCTGTATTATTGATGTCCCCAAGTTAGCGGGCACTGCCCAGTTCCAAGATGTTCTTTGGCCAACCCCAGCAGCCGTGGGGTCCCCAGTACTCACCAGGGTTCGGTGCAGGTCCTCCTCTTTGGTCTACTGCACACCACACCACTCGCCCTCCCTGCGCTCTTGGCACAGTGTGGAATGGTCAGAAAACTGCACAGCATTTGGCTTCGGGGCTCCAGAGCCTTTCACAATCTCCTCTGGTGCAGCAGAGCAGTCCTGGCTGCTTCTCGGGGTCCCAGGTCTCAGTTTCCAGCAGTCACCAAAAGCCAACACAGCTTTTCTGTTGGGTCCATGGGTCAGTTTGCTGATTTAAAGGTGCGGGATTTGCAGCCACCCGTTATCAGCCTTCACAGTCTCAGCACAACTTTAAATCCTCCAGCCATGCTGTCTTGGTTAATAAGAATCATTATCCATTCGTCTGGCCCTTTCCATGTTGTCATATTCTAGCTTCTAATATGATTTCTCCGGAGAGACTCTCCGCCCGATCCCCTAGCAAGCCGCCATTTTTTCGCCAGCCTGAAGGGGCTTTAACCCTTTCTATTCAAAGTCTTTAACACTTCCATATCTTGCCTAGCATATTACAGTTCTTATCAAAAAGTACTGATAACTACTTATCTTTCCTCAATCCCAATCTACATGTTTCTCACATATTTTGGTATTGCTCCCACAAAATATCTTCTGTAAATCTTCAATACTAACTCTTAAATTCAACTAAAAATACTACAGTGAAAACATATCTTTTCTTCTCATCTATGGCAATCTTTTCTTCTAATGTATGGCAATTACTTATGGCAATTCTTCTCAATCTTTTCTTCTCATCTGTGGCAATTACTTATTCAAACTTCTCCCTTAATTTCTAACACTCATAATCTGCCACCTCCATTTTTATCCACCCCACATAACCTTTCTCATTTCAGGATAACTACAATTAATAAATTCTTATAGTGTGCAAAGAGAATAGATAAACATGTAGAAGTGTTATAGCATTGAACCTGTGGATGATGTTATAACCAGAATTTTAATTATTTGGCAAAACATACTGACAGACTCAAAACACTTAAAGTAAATAATAGAGGAAAAAGCACTAGCACTGGATATACAAAGTTGAAAATTATTTATGAGGAGATAACATCCTACCAAAAAATCCATATAACCCACAAGTTCTCCTCACTTCTGTAGTCCCTAACCTGCAATAACACTCTTTCAAAGGAAAGAAATAAGAGGGATCCATGTAGAAATTTAAAAAGATAAACATATGCAAATAAACACAGATAAACATAGGAGAGTGTGGAAGCAAGGAAATAGATTATCTTCACCCCCATGACTTTCAAGTCACTTTAAGGTCACACAGAGAGAAGAAAACAATGACTAGGTAGCAGAACTCTATGCAACGTCCATCCAAAGTACAAAAAATAGACATATTCAAGATGAAATGAACCAAAATTTACAGCAATGACAATATGCCCATGGAGAATTTCAAGGAAATATGTAAACAACTGAACAAGCTAAGCAAAACAGTTCAAAATTTGAATGGTAGATTCCATGAGAATATGAAGTCCTCAAAAAGATGCCACACAATAATACCTGAAATAAAAACCATAGAATTCATACATTGTAGAAATAACCAGTGTGATGATAACATTTCAAGTTGAGGAGAAAATAGTGGATTATGATAGAAGCCTCTCTCTCTGAGAAAAAGAAAAATATGAATGAGGGAAGACTATTCACTAGCTACTGCATGCCAAGAAAAACAATCTAAGACTAATCAAAGTTAGAGAAAAACTAGAAATTAGCACAGATGCTAACAGAAATCATAGAAGAAAATTTTCCAAATATAAGACACGTTTTATATCACTAAAAAATCATATCTATATATTCTTAAACTTCATTCATTACATTTGTTTAAATGCTTTTATAAATAGAGGTTAGTGTTAAAGACAGAATTCCTACCTCAACTGTTACTAACTTTGACAGTTTTTAGCCACTATTCAGCAATATTCTATTGTTAATTTCTGGCTCCATCATTTTAAATAGGTTAAAAAATAAAGTCTAACATCAATGATTGCTAATGACTTTTTCCTCTTTTGCAGACTACCAAAAGGTAATCCTTCATCAAACAACAAAACTCGTCATTCTTGGTCTCCTTAAGAACACTCAGGTGAGACTTTTGACCCCTAGCTAGAAAGTACCAATGCTCACCCTTAGTCTAATGCAGTTACAGGAAGACAGAATATCAACTTTATCTCTCCCATAGGGATAAGTCCTCAACATTTCAGGAGCAGAATGAATATGGTAAAAGATAGATGAAAAAGAGACAAGAAAACAACAACTTAAAATGTATTGTTAAAAAGACTGTAACTTCCATGACATTTACAAAGTTACCCAAGACAATCCATGTCAATATACCTTTGGTTGAATTCAGGCTCCTTCTCCTATCATACCCACCACACCCAAAACTACTCAAGAATACTAAAAACCCAGAAATTGACTTACTTGAGAAGATAAAGAGCAGAAGTCTGACCCTTAGATAAAAGAACAGATTGAAGGAATCCAAAAAATGTTAACATTACCTATTCAAAGCAAGAAGTACCCATATGTGTAGAATGAGCTAGCATTATTTTAGGGGGGGAAATATTGTAAATGTTCCATGTTGCAGGAAATAAATTGTTTCATTTAACTGAGTGCTGCATTATTGAATGGGCCCCAAATTTCTGCATAATAAACCCTCCCCATGGCACACGGATGCATCAACAAAACAGTGGTTAAAGTTCCTTTTTTCAGCTTTGAAGACATGTAATATGGAGCCTGGTAACAATAGTAACAGTCCTCATTGTGTGGCAGCACTTGCCAGTGATGTGCATTAAAATGGTTGTTTGACATCTAATATGCAGATGTGTATGAACAATTTTTTGGAAGCTACATAGTGTAATATCAACTCTCTAGTTTTGTTTTCATAGATATTGGAGGGCGTAGAGGAAGAAAGTGAATCATCATATTCAATTTTTCTAAATACAAGGTACAGAACTGTCATTTTTGTCTGAGATGTGAGCCTCAGTGTCAGATTAAGAGAATGGAATGCATATGTTGGAACTGGAGGACTTCTTGCCTAATTTAAGAAAGGTAAGGAATCAGGAAGAAATCACATTCATTCTGTGTTTATAAAGGAGTTTCTGTCTTGTACCTGCAGGAAGACTGAAAGCTTCTCCCAGGATGATCTCTGTTTTCCTCTCTGCATTCATTTCTAGCCGTAACTAACATAGCAGTGATACCTCATCCAATTTTTATTTCTTATCTCTGAGGTCATTTACAAACAGAATACCCATTATGCAGAGAGGAGGATGGGAAACACTCCATGCCAGTAATTGCAATGTTTCTTGGAATTTTCCTTTCCATTCGCTCCTTAGAACTAGAATGCAATTGCAGATGTTTCCTGAATAATTTTAGCACTTTTGATTCTTTGTTAGGCAGATAATGTCCAGTGCAGAATTTTTTCATGGCCAATTGACTTAGCCACTCCCCAAGGGGAGCCAAGATACCACCCAGATATGTTCCTATTCATTTGAAAGAAGAATATACAACTTATTTATGTCACTTCCAGGGCAGAAAAGAAAAGAATCTATACAAAAACCACAAAAAGCACTCAGGAGGGTGAGCTCTGCTATAACATATTAAGAAACAAGAGGTAAAATGTTAATCACACTAATGATAAGGGATAATTACCATTCTGAGAGTTCACTATGTGATTTTGAGAGAAACATTACTAGAATTCTAGAAGGAGCACAGATGGTATGGAACTGTTTTGTGTCCTGGAAAGGGTATGTGAAAACCAGACCATCTGCCCAATTTTATAAGAATTTTTGTCTTCTTTCTTGGTTAAAGTGTTGTGTGTGAGTGAAAGATAAATTATACTTGTGTTATTAAAATTCCAGTCTTACAATGATGTAATTTTTAAAGAGGTATGAGGTGGTGCTATATAAGTAGCATGCTTTTTAGCATTTGAGTTAAGGCATTATGGTAGAAATATCAGGGAATACAGAGAGATAATATAAAATTATGATCTAAATAATTTTATTATTGGATTGAGAAATGGTCCTAAAGTGGTTTTGTGGTCAATGATGAATGATAGTGCTGCAATTAGAAAAGTTACCAGTGGAAATAGACTGGGCTCTGCAGATTTCTTGGCGTGGGCCTGGCTGGGCCATGTCCAGCAACCTTCTTTCAATCCAGGGATGTAGGGTTTCCCAAGGTGAGTTCCAGCACAGCAACACAGGCCTCGGGAGAGTTTGAGTCCAAAAGTAAAGCAAGAAATAAATAGATTAATAAAAGAAATGCTAAGCACATCTCAAGAAGACACAGATGGAAGAATGGAGAAATAAAAAAGCAACTCCAGGAAGGTCTAAAGGAATTCAAATTAGAAATAATTTTCCAGGTAAAAGAAGAAATGACGAAAGTAATGAAAGAAATGCTAAACACATCTAAAGAAATCACAGTTTAAAAAGTAGAGGAATAAAGCAAAAAGATAGAATCCCTGAATAAACAATATAAGAAACAAACAGAATACAAGTAGATTCAAAGAGATACATAGCAAATAAAAAATTTCATAGAAAGTTGGCAAAACCATCTCAATAAAAGTGAAGATAGAATTTCAGATCTCAAAGACAAGATTGCAACTAGTGAACTAAAAAGAAAGATCTTTTAAAAATAACAAGGAATCAGGAAATAACAATTCAACAGGTGCAACATGATGCAGTGAAAAACAACATAAGATTGATAGGGATAAATGAAAAAGAAAGGGATAATACAAAGGATAACAAGAGGCTATTTACAGAGGTAATAGCTGAAAATTTTCAAAATATGAGAATGGAAACTGACAGATACACTAGTGAAGCATATGGAAATTGAAATACCCAGAACAAAAATAAAACTACACCCAAGCATATAATAATCACCATCCCAGAAATCCAGCAAAAAACCAGAATATTAAAAGTGGTTAGACAGAAGAGAGAGATCACCTATGAAGGAAACCTATCAGAATCACAGGAGACTTCTCAACGCAAACAGTGAAGTCAAGAAGAACATAGAGTGAAGTGTTTGAGAACCTAAAGGAAAATGACTTCCAACCTAGACTGATATAGCCTGAAAAACTGTCCTTCAAAAATGGATGGAGAAATAAGATACTTCCATGACAATGAACAGCTGAGGAACTTCATGATCACCAAACCAACCCTGCAAAGAACAACGAAAGACAGTCTAGATACACATAGGAAATAACCACTAAGCAGGGCAGACAATTAAACAGAATGGGACGGTAAAGATGCAACAGCAGAAAGATAACATGTCAACAATACACCAACATATAACAGTTATTGCCATTAATATAAATGGTCTCAATTCACCAATTAAAAGAAAGAGACTGGAAGAATAGTTCAAGAGACAACATCGAACCATATGCTTTCTACAAGAAACCCATCCAACACAAAAGGAAACTCATAGACTGAAAGTCAAAAGATGGAAAACAATACCTCATGCAATAGGAACCCTCCAAAAAAGTGGAAATAGTTATTCTGTTTGCAGACAATGTGAACTTCAAACCAAAAATGATCCAAAGAATGCAGAAAGTCACTACATACTAGACAGGGGAAAACTTCAAGAGGAAGAGATAACAATCTTAAATAAACATGCACCAGATTCCAGAGAACCCAGGCATACAAAGCAATTATTAACAGAAATGAAAAATCAAATAAGCAATAACAGGTATAACAGGAGATCCTAACACAGCATTGACACAAAGGACAGATAAACTAGACAGAAAATTGGCAGAGAAATAACAGAGCTGAATCACACCTGTGAACAAACAGACTTGGTGGACTTACACAGGGTGTTTGATTGAACAAAATAAAAATACAAATTCTGCTTTACAGCTCATGGAATGTTCCCTAAAATAGACCATATACTAGCCCACAGAATAAGTTAAAGTAAATGCAAAAGAATTGAAATAATTTCATGCATGTTATCAGATCATAGCACTATCAAACTAGAAATTAATGACAAAAGAAACTGCAAAAACTCCACAAACATATAGAAATTGAATGATACACTCCTGAGAAATCAGTGAATCACAGAGGAAATTAAAGAAGAAATTAAACAATACCTAGAAGCAAACAAAAAAATAAGTACACCTTACCAGAACCTGCGGGACACAATGAAACCGTCCGCAGAGCAAAATTTATTGCAGTGAATTCCCAAATCAGGAAAAAAAAAAGACCTGATGCTACACTTCAAACTTTTAGAAAAAAAAGAGCAAGTCAACCCCAAAGCCAAAAGAAGGTAGGAAATTATAAAAATCACAGCAGAAAATAATGCAATAGAAATTAAGAAACAATACAAAGAATCAATGCATCAAAGAGTTGTTTCTTTGAAAGAGTAAATAAAATTGATAAGTCCCTAGCCAACCTTATTTAAAAAGGAAAGAAAAAGGTCAAGTTCATGGAATAAGGAATGAAAAAGTTGAAATCACTACAGACTCTGTGGCAATACAGAAGATCATCAACACCTGTTTCAACTACCTCTGCTCTCATAGGCGCAATAACACAGAAGAAATGGACAGATTTCTAGAAACATATGAATTACCCATGCTGGGTCAAGAACATGTAAAACTGCTGAATAACCCAACCTCTATTAATGAAATTGAAACTGTAATTAAGTCCTTACCTACAAAAAAGAGCCCAGGCCCAGACGGATTCACTGCAGAATTCTTCAAGAAATACAAAGAAGATTTAATGCCAAAACTCTTCAGATTCTTCAATGAAATTGAAAGGGAAGAAATCCTACCTAAGTCATTCCTGGAAGTAAATATTACTCTAGTACCAAAACCTGAGAAAGGCTGAACTAAAAAAGAAAACTACAGACCGATCTCCCTAATGAACACAGATGCAAAATTCCTCAATAAAATTTTGGCAAATAGAATGCTGAAAATCATCACGAAGATTATAGACCATGATCAACTGGAAATCATCCCAGGCATGCAGAAATGGTTCAACATATGTATATCAATAAATGTAATCCACCATATCAATAAAGCCAAATGTAAGAATCACATGATCACTTCTATAGATTCAGAAAAAGCCTTTGATAAGGTACAGATTTCATTAATAATAAGAGCTTTACAGAAAATTGGAATAGATAGTCTTCACTTCAATATAATAAAAGCCATCTATGACAAACCAACACTCAGTATCATGTATCATACTAATTGGCCAAAAGTTGAAGGCCTTTACTTTAAAATCAGATACAAGACAAGAATGCTCCTTATCACTACTCCTATTTAATATAGTACTGGAAATACTAGCCAGAGCAATTAGACAAGAGAGAGAAATAAAAGAGGTAAAGATAGGAAAAGAACTTAAATTAACATTGTTTGCAGATGGCATGATCTTCTACACAGAAAACCCCAAAACTACATTGAAAGACTTAAGAGTCTAAGGATATCACAAATAAACTCAGTAATGTAGCTGGATACAAAATCAGTACTAAAAAATCAACATCATTCCTATACAGTAACAACAAAATCACTGACAGAGAAACAAGAGAAGCCACACCCTTCAGAATAGCACCCAGAAAAATGAAATATTTAGGAATTACTCTCAGGAAAGAAGAGAAAGATATATACAAGGAAATTTGTAGTACACTGAAAAAAGTAATTGAAGACAATCCCAGAAAATGTGACCATTCTCCCAAAATTGTTATACAGATTCAATGCAATACCAATAAAAATATTATCCACATACCTCATAGATCTCAAGAAATGAATCCTAAAATTCATCTGGAGCAAGAAGAGACCTAGAATAGCAAAGACAGTTCTAAGCAGCAAAGGCAAGAAGGAGGCATCACATTCCCTTACTTGAAGTTATAATACAAAGTAACCATAGTAAAATCAACATTGTACTGGAATCTAAACAAAGCCGAAGATCAATAAAATAGATCAGAAGATATAACCACAACTACAAACACACTGCCATTCTTCCAGGGAACATGTTTGGCCCCTTTGTCAAAGATAATGTTTTTAAGTGTGTTTGTAGTTGTGGTTGTATCTTCTAATCTATTCCACTGATCTTGGGCTCTGGTTTGGTTCCAGTACCATGTTGATTTTACTACGGTTGCTTTGTAGCATAACTTCAAGTCAGGGATTGTGATACCTCCTGCCTTGCCTTTGCTGCTTAGAACTGTCCTTGCTTTTCTAGGTCTCTTCGCGCTCCAGATGAATCTTAGGAGTGATTTCTCAAGTTCTATGAGGTATGTTGATGGTGTTTTTATCGACATTGCATTGAATCTGTATAAAAGTTTTGGGAGAATGGCCATTTTCACAATATTTATTCTTCCTATCCATGAGCAAGGGATGTTTTTCCATTTTCTGAAATCATCTTCAATTTCATTTTGCAGTGCATTATAATTTTCCCTGTATAGGTCTTTCACTTCTTTCGTGAGAGTAATTCCTAAATATTTCATTTTTTTGGTTGCTAGTGTGAAGAGTGTGGTTTCTCTTATTTCTCTCTCTGTAACTTTGTTGTTAGTGTATAGGAATGCTATTGATTTTTGAGTATTGATTTTATATCCAGCTATATTACTGAATTTATTTATTATATCTAGGAGTCTTTCAATGGAGTTTGGGGATCTTTTATATAGAGTATCATGTCATCTGCAAATAGTGATAGCTTAACTTCTTTTTTTCCTATTTTTACACAATTTATTCTCTCGCTTGTCTAATTGCTCTGGCTAGTATTTCCAGTACTATATTAAATAGGAGCAGTGATAAGGGACATCCTTGTCTTGTGCCTCATTTTAAAGTAATGGCCATTAATTTTTGGTTATTTAGTATGATATTGGCTGTTGGTTTGTCATAGATGGCCTTTATTTTATTAAGTTAAAGATCATCTATTCCAATTTTCTGCAAGATTCTTATCATAAATGAATTTTGGACCTTATCAAAAGCCTTTTCTGTGTCTATAGAAATGATCATGTGGTTCTGACTTTTGGCTGTATTGATATGGTTTAATACATTTAATGATTTATGTATATTGAACCATCCCTGCATGCCTGGGATGAATCCTACTTGGTCATGGTGTGTGATCTTCTTGATGATTTGCTGCATCCTATTTGCCAATATTTTATTGAGGATTTTTGCATCTGTGTTCATTAGGGAGATTGGTCTGTAGTTCTCTTTTTCAGTTGCATTCTTCTCAGGTTTTCGTACTAGAGTAATATTTGATTCTAGGAACAATTGCTTCCCTTTCAATTTCATTGAAGATTTTGAGGAGTTTTGGCATTAGGTCTTCTTTGTATTTCTTGTAGAATTCTGCAGTGAATCTGTCTGGGCCTGGGCTCTTCTTTGTAGGTAAATATTTAATTATGTTTCTGATTTCATTAATAGGAATTGGGTTATTCAGCAGTTTTACATCTTCATGCTCTAGCTTTGGTACTTTGTATGCTTCTAGGAATCTGTCTATTTCCTCTGTATTATCAAACCTTTGAGGTTAGAGGTTTTCAAAATAAGTGTTGATGATTTTCTGTATTTCTATAAGGTCTGTAGTGATTTCTCCTCTTTCATTCCTTATTGCATGAATTTGAGCTATTTTTAAAGAGAAAAAAGAAAGGAAATAAATTTAAAAAAACAAAGCTGTAAAAGGGTACAAATAATACAGAATTTCAAGGAAAAATACAGTAAGATATCACTAGTTAATAGTTCACATATCACTAGTTAATAGGTTGTCATCTTTCAAATAGTTGTCCAAATGATAAAATTAAAGCATATAAAGTGAACATTAATACAATGAGATTGCAGACAGTGCCAGTCAATGATCCAAGAAAAGTTCAGTAATATGGATTTCCATCCTACACACTCAAACGTACATGCAGCTATATACCTTAGACCACCTTCCTTTCATCTCTTTTTAATCACATTACACTTTTTGGGTTTTGTTACTCACAGAATTCTTATTATTTTTTTTTTGAGAGAATAAAACTTAGCATGGCTAAACAAAACAGAATCGGTTAGAACAAAAGGATGGGCATAGTACATGATGTCAAAATAGAATATCAGGTGATCTAAAATGGTTACCATTGTGCCTCTTGATATTTTTTTTAAAGTTGCCTATATCATCAGGTATAATAGAATTGATCAAAACAGTACAGAACATGACCAATAAAAGCTACACTGGAGACCTTACAGGATTTCAAAAGAAGATAATAGTCAAACCCCAATTGACATCTTAGTGAATCTTATTGCCTTCAAAGTGGTTGCCTTTACCCTCAAACTTTACACTATCAAACAAAATAGAATATAGTAAAATGCGACAGAACAAAATGGGGAGAGCAATACTGGGGATCATATCAGATTAATAGGAAAACAAAAAAAGTTATTATAATATATACCTCTATTTTTTAATTTAGTTTTCCATTAATTGAAAAAAATGTAAGAAAAAATAGATTAATTTTTAAAAAGGGTGGGATTGAGGTAAAAGAGGACATTGTATTAGAACAACACAGGTCAGAGCCGAACAATTTAAGCATTGTTGTGTTTCACCCCCAGATAATCTAACATAATAGTAGTCACCATAGTGCCTCCTTTCTTGAATTATTTTAGTATAACTTCATATACTATAGCATCAAGCATATCAAGTCAGTCTAAAGCTAATGAATTTGAGCTTTTTCTTCCCTTTTTTAATAAGGTTGGCTAGGGGCTTATCAATTTTATTTATTCTTTCAAAGAACCAACTCTGATTCATTGATTTTTTTCAGATTTTTTTTTAGTCTGTATTGCATTGATTTCTGCTCTGATTTTTATAATTTCTTCTCTTCTTTTGGCTTTGGGCTTGACTTGCTCTTCTTTTTCTAGATGTTTGAGGTGTAACATCAGGTTATTTATTTGTATTCAATTTTCCTAATGTGCAATAAAATTTCCTCTGAGGACAGCTTTCATTGCATCCCACAGATTCCGGTAAGTTGTATTTGTGTTTTCGTTTTCTTGTAGGTATTGTTTGATTTCTTATTTAATTTCCTCTGTGACCCACTGATTACTCAAGCATGTGTTATTCAGTTTCCATGTGTTTGTGGGAATTTTGAAGTATCTTTTATCATTAATTTCTAATTTCATGGCACTATGGTCCAATAGCATGCAAGGCGTAATGTCAACCCTTTTGCATTCATTTAAATATGTTTTGTGAATTAATATATAGTCTATTTTAGAGAATTACCCATGCACTGCTGAGAAGAATGTGCATTCTATTGTTGTTAGGTGGAATACTCTGTATATGTCTAGTAAGTCCATTTGTACACAGGTGTGATTGAGTTCTTTTATTTCTTTGCTGATTTTCTGTCTGGTTGATCTGTCAATTGGTGTTAATGGTGTGTTAAGATCCCCTGTTAGAATTGTGTTACTGTTAATTTGGTTTTTCATATCTGTTAGTACTTGTTTTATATAACTGAGTGCTCTGGTATTTGGTGCATATATATTTAAGATAGTTATCTCTTCCTCTTGGAGTTTTCCCTTAACCAGTATGTAGTGACCTTCGTTATCCCTTCTGATCATTATTGGCTTGAAGTTCACATTGTCTGCAAACAGAATAACCACCCCCGTTTTTGGGGATTCATATTGTTTTCCATCCTTTAACTATCAGTCTGTGGGTATCCTTTTGAGTTACATAGGTTTCTTGTAGTCAACAGATGGTTGGATTTTGTTTCTTGATCCATTCTGCCAGTCTGTTTCTTTTAATTGGTGCATTGAGACCACTTACATTAATGGTTATAACTGTTATATATTGGTTTACTGTTAACATGTTATCTTTCTGCTGTTGCATCTTTATCTTTCCATTCTGTTTAATTGTCTGTTTTGTTTAGTGGTTTTCTCCTAAATGTATCTAGGCTGTCTCTCAGTATTCTTTGTAGTTGGCTTGATGATCATGTAGTTTTTCAGCTGTTCTTTTCATGGAAGTATCTTATTTCTCCATCCATGTTTAAGGACAGTTTTTCAGGGTGCATCAGTCTAGGTTGGAAATCATTTTCCTTTAGGATCTGAAATACTTTACTCCATGCTCTTCTTGACTTGATTGTGCTGAGAAGTCTGCTGTAATTCTGATAGGTTTTCCTTTATAGGTGATCTGTCTTTTCTCTCTGACAGCTTTTAATATTCCATTCTTTTGTTCTATTTCTGGGATGACCATTACTATGTATCTGGGTGTAGTTTTATTTTGATTATGGCTATTTGGAGTTCTATATGCTTCATTGATCTTGATATCCGTTTCCAATCTCATGTTTGGGAAATTTTCAGCTATTACTTCTCTGCATATCCTCTTGATATCCTTTACATTGTCCCCTTCTTTTTCATTTATCCCTATCAACCTTATGTTGTTCCTCTTTGCGTCATCTTGCAGGTGTCAAATTGTTATTTCCTGATTTCTTGTTATTTTTAAAAGATCTTTTCTTTCCTGTTCACTGGCTTCAATCTTGTCTTCGAGGTCTGAGATTCTATTTTCACATTCATTGAGGTGGGTTTTACAACTTTTGATGGAGTTTTTGATTTCATGTATATCTCTTCAAATCTGCTTTATATATTCTGTTTGTTTTTTATATTGTTTTTCCAGGGATTGTATCTTTTTGTTTAGTTCCTCCAACTTTTTAACTGTGTCTTCTTTAGATATGTTCAGCATCTCCTTCTTTTCTTTTATCATTTCTTCTTTTACCTGAGAGATTATTTCTAGTTTGAATTCCTTTAAGGCTTCCCAGAGTTGCTTCTTTATTTCATATCTATTATTTCAGGTATGTGGCATATATTTTCTTCTATGCACATGGCTCCTAGGCTTTCTTTGGATGGGCTGGATGTTTGAGATTGCATTTTGGTCTTTCATTTTGTCATTTTCCTATATTTTTGAGCTTCAAGTGTTGTTCCAAGTGAGGGAGAGAGGTCAGCCAGGCTGGGACGGGTTCTGTGGCTTGGCTGGACTCACTATTCCTGGCAGGGAGCTTTGGTCTATCTTCCAGGCAAGGAAGAGAGTTCTGCGGGGCTCTGACGGGATTCCCTGCCTCTGTTGGACTTACTCGTTCTGACAGGAAGCTGGGGTCTGGCCCCCATGCAAGAAAGAGGGTTTTGCCAGGCTGGGGCAGAGTTCTGCACCTCCGCTGGACTTACTGGTCCTGACTGGAAGCCGAGGCCTTGCCCCCAGGCAAGGAAGAGAGTTCCACTGGGCTGGGATGGGGTTCCCTGCCTCTCCTCTAGTTACTGGTCTCCACAGGGAGCCTCGACCTGTCCCCCAGCATGGGAGAGAGTTCCACCAGACTAGGGCAGGATTCCACACCTCCGCTTGACTTACTGGTCCTGACAGGAAGCCAAGGCCTGGCCCCCAGGCAAGGAAGAGAGTTCCACTGGGCTGGAATGGGGTTCCCTGCCTCCACTGGACTTACTCTTCCCAACAGGAAGCCAGGGCCTTGCCCCCAAGCAAGGAAGAACTTTATTTTTTCCTTTTAAAGAAGAAACAAAACAAAACAAATCAGAAAATGAGAAAACAGGAAACAAAAGATATAAATAACAATAAGAAGAACCCAAAACAACAATAATACAAGCTTTTAAACCAAGCTGGTAGGAACTTAACAAGGGTTGTTATTTTGCATAGTTATCTTCAAAAGAGTTACTCAAATTATACAGATATAGACATGCAACATTGATCTAATCTTATGAGTATTACCTGTTTTGTCAAGTGAGACCTCTAATCCTAGCTTTTTGAGAAACCTTCATGCTGATTTCCACAGTGGTTTAACCTGTCTACACTCACATAAACAATACAGAAGAGTTGCTTTTGTCCTATGGCCTCTCTAGCATTTGTTATTGGTTGTTTTATTGATCCTTACTGTTCTTTCTGGAATGAAATGGAATTCCACTGTTGTCTTAACTTGCATTTCCTGAATGACCATTGATACTGGACATTTTTATATATATTTATTTCCCATTTGTGTTTTTTCAGTTGAAAAACTTCATAATATAATTTCAAGTCAGGGATTGTGATGCCTCCTGCCTTATCTTTGTTGCCCAGAATTGCGTTTGCTATTCTAGGTTTCTTCTGGTTACAGATGAATTATAGGAAAGATTTCTCTAGATCTTTGAGGTATTCAAATGTATTTTGGTTGGAATTCTATACATTTTGGTTGGAATAATTTTGGAAGAATAGTCATTTTCACAATGTTTGTTCTTCCTATCCATGAACAGGGAATATGTTTCCACTTTTTGAAATGCTTTTCAATGTCCTGTTCAGAGAAACCCATTTTTCACTGTATCGATCATTTACTTCCTTTGTTAGATTGATTCCCGAGTATTTCATTTTCTTTTGGATACTATAATGAATGGTGTGGTTTCTCTTATTTCCCTCTCAGTGAATTCATTGTTTGTGTTTAGGAATTGTTTTAGAGTGTGGACCTTGTATCCAGCTACACTACTGAATTTGTTTATTATGAGTAGGAGTCTTCAAATGGAGCTTTGGGGGACTTTGTAGAGTATCATGTCATTTGCATACAATGATGATTTAACTTCTCTCTTTCCTATCATTTTTCCTTTTATTTCTCTTTCTTGTCTAATTGCTTTGGCTAATGTTTCCAGAACTATATTGAATAGAACTGGCAATAATAGACATCCTTGTCTTGTTTCTGATTTTAGGTTGAAAGTTTTCAGGTTTTTTCCATTTAGTAAGATGTTGGTTGTTGGCTTAACATATATGGCTTTTATCATATTGAGGAACAGATGAGCTATCTGATCTTCTATAGGGTTCTTACTGTGAATTAATGTTGGATTTTATCAAAAGCTTTTTCCTGCATCTGTTGAGATGGCTATTTGGTTCTTGTCCTTGACTCTGTTGATATGGGGTGTTACATTTATTGATTTGTGTATATTGAACCACCCTTGCATTCCTGAGATGAAACTCATTTGATCATGATACATAATCTTCTTGGTGACTTGTTGCATTCCATTTGCCAGTATTTTGTTGAACATATTTTATCTCTGTTCATTGGCCTGTAATTTTCTTTTTTGATTGGGTCTTTTTTGGTTTTGGTATTAGGGTAGTACCAGGTGTTTCCAGGAATGACTTGGGGAAACTTGCTTCCCTCAGAGTTTGAGAATTGTTGATGTCAAGCCTTTCCTAAATTTCTTGTAGAATTCAGCAGTGACTCTATCACGATCTGGTGTTTTCTTCGTTGTTAAGGTTCTAATAACAGTTTCAATTTCATTATCTGAAATTGGGTTATTCAGCAGTTTCAGATCTTCTTGATTCAGCTTTGGTAATTCATTAGATTTCTAGGAATCTCTCAATTTAGTTTGTGCTATTGAAACCATGAGAATAAATTTTTTCAAAGTGGGTATTATTTTCTGTATTTTCACAGAGTATTTAGTGATTTCATGCTTTTATTTCTTATTGCATGCAGTTGAGTTTTTTCTTTCCTGTTTTGCTAAGGTTGTCTAGTGAGGTATTTATTCTTTCAAAGAACCATCTTTTCAATTCATTAATTCTTTGCATTGTTTTGTTAGTTTCAATTGCATTAATTTCTGCTCTGATCTTTAAAATTTCCTCCTTTCTTTTGACTTTGGACTTGACTTGCTCTTCTTTTTCTAGAAGTTTGAGATTATAGCATTAGGTTGTTTATTTGTGTTCATATCATTTTCCACATTGGGGAGTTTAGTGTTATAAATTTCCCTATGAGGGCTGCTTTGTTGGTGTCCCACAGGTTCTGGAAATTTTTATTTTCATTTTTGTTTGATTGAAGATATTGCTTAAATTCTTTAATTACTTCTATACATTGGTTGTTTAGGAAATGTTATTTAATTTTCATATGTTTATGGAGTCCTTGTGGGTTTTTTCATCATTAGTTTCTGATTTTGTTGCCTTATGATCAGGTAATATGCATGGAATTATTTCAATCCTTTCTTATTTAGTAAGACATATTCTGTGGGTTACTATGTGATGTATTTTAGAGATTGATCCATATGCAGCTGAGAAGAATGTGTTTTCTGATTTATACTCAACTTGGTATACATCTACTAGGTCTATTTGTTCAGAAGTTTGATTCAGTTCTGTTATTTCTTTGCTGATGTTTTGTTTGGTTGATCTATGTCTTTGTGTCAATGGGGTATTAAAGTCCCCCATTATGACTGTATCATTATTCATTTTATATTTCATGTGTATTAAGATTTGTTTTATATATGTGGGTACTCTCATATTTGGTGCATATATATTAATGACTGTAATCTCTTCCTCTTCAAGTTTTGCCCTAACAAGTATGTAGTGATGTTCTTTGTCTCCTTCGATCATTCTTTATTTGAAGTTCACATTGTCCACAGACAGAATAGTTACCCCTACTTTTTTCTGGGTTCCCATTGCATGAAATATTGTTTTACATCCTTTGACTTTTATACTATGAATTTTCTTCTGAGTTAAATGTTTCCTGTGCATAACATATTGATGGATTGTGTTTCATAATCCACTCTACCGGTCTGTTTCATTTTATTGGTGAGTTGAGACTATTTACATTGATGAATATAACTGATTTGTACTGATTTATCACTATCATATTGTCTTTCTTTTGCTGTTTTTCTATTTTCTGTTTAATTTTTTGTCCTGAAGAGTGGTTTCCTTCTCTTGTTGTTGGGATTGTAGATATCTTGTCTCTCTCTAGAATGTCTTTCAGTAACTCTTTGTGGTGTTGGCTTGGTGGTTATTAATTTCTTCAGTTGTTCTTTGTTATGGAAGCATGTTATTTCTCCATCAGTTTTGAAAGATAGTTTTGCAGCGTACATCAATCTGCATTGAAAGTTGTTTTCTTTGAAGACCTGATATACTTCACTTCAAGCTCTTCTTGATTTGAAGGTTTATGTTGAGCAGTCAACTGTGATTCTGATAGTCTTTGCTTCATAGGTGAGCTATATCTTTTCTCTGATAGCTTTTATTATTCTGTTCTTTTGCTGAATTTCTGATATCCTAAGTATTACATGTATCTGTGAAGATTTATTTTGGTTATGGTTAATTGGGGTTCTGTATAACTCATTTATCTGTATATCAGATTCTCTTCCCATTTTTGGAAAAATTTTCTGTGATTATTTCTGTAAAGAGTCTTTGTATGTCATTTGTGCTGACTCCTGCATTTTCATTGACACTTATCAATCTTATATTGTTTCCCTTTGCATTATCTTGCAGCTCTTGAAATGTTATTTCCTGGGGGATGCCCCCAGCGCACTTGATATGCCTGGTACACAACTGCAGGCCCGTCCTTTGGCCTAGCATGCCTGGGATGGCCTTGAGCACCTCCAAGGGTCCACCTCTTAGCCTGGAGATTCTGGGGTGCCTCTGGAATGTCTGAGACACTTGCACTACTGTTGTGGTCCTGCCCCTTGGTCTGGCACACCTGGGATGACCTGACACTACTAAGTGCCCCCCTTGGCTTGGGATGCCTGGGGAACCCCTGGCATGCCCGAGACCACCACTACAGGCCTGTCTATCAGCTCAGAATGCTTGAGACACCCTCTGCACAACTGGGATGCCTCAGACCACCACTGTGGGACTGTTTCCTCAGTCCAGCATGCCTGGGACTCCCCAGACAATGGCTACAGTCCCATCCCTTGGCCTGAGGCACCTGAGACAAAACTGACACACCAAGGATGCCTTGGACAGCTGTCACTAGCCTACTCCTTGGGGAAACCCCCAACCTCCTGAACCTAGTACTGTGGTTAATCTTTGGCTCCAACTCCTTCTGCCAGAACCTTGGACTACTGCAGATTACTGTGCTGGTTCAAAGGGAGACTCAGGAACACTTCACCCAAACAGAAGATCTCAGCAGGCTCCAGTCAGTGTGGTGAGTTTTCCCCTAAAATAGAAGTCTGCAATGGGTAATTAGGAGTAGAAGTGAAAATCCCTCCTACTGAAAGACCTTGACAAACATGGCAAGAAAGTGAATGTTCCCCTCCTCCACACAGAGAACATCAGACAGGTTGAAGAGTATGCCAATAAGGCCTCCCCTAACTTGGAGAAAATTAAGGGCTTATGAGATTCCCCCCCAGTGACACAGTAGGGCCTCACATGACACAAACACTATAGACTTGGAGATATGATGGCATGCAACAACTTGAATACATATCAAAAGCAGGAACTAAGAGTTGGCCTACATCAATACTTCTAGGCTAGTTAGCTTAGGACGAATGTAGGACTAACACAATACACAACAGGCCCTGCAGGAAAAATTCAGGTGACTGGATCTCCTCTTCATTGTGGTACTCAGCAATTGGACAAACATCAACCACATACTAAGACCCTAAAATTCACACTATGGACAGTTGAGATTGCTGTGAGTGAAAGACTAAGTATTTACCCAAAAGGTGAAAATGACAAAATGAAAAGGCAAAATGCAATCTCAAACATCTAGTCCATCAAGAGCAAGTACAGACAACATTGAAATGGAGGACTTTAAAAGTCATATATCAGAAATCTCTGAAAAGATAGTAAATGAAGTAAAGAAAAAATCCATGAGGCTATAGAGGAAAGCAAATTAGAAATAATGTCATACATAAAGAGAGAAATAACAACCTTAGTAAACAAGTTACTCAACATAGCTAGATAAGAGACAGATAAAAAATCCAGGATCATGGAAAAATGATTGAAACTTTGAATAAACAATGTAGAAAGCAAGCAGAATCCTTGAAACAAATTCAAAGAGATATCCAAGAAACAAAAAAAAATTCTTCTGAAAGGTAGCAAAACCATTTAAATAAACCTGATGATAGAATTTCAGGCCTTTAGGACAGGATTGCAGATAGTGATCATGAAAAACAACAAAGCACCATCAAATGACAATCCATCAGCTCAAGATGATGCCAAGAAAAACAATCTAAGTCTAATATGCATCAATGAAGATGTAGGAAATAACACAAACCACATAACTAAACTATTCACAGAATAAATAGCAGAAAATTTCCCAAACATGGGGAAAAATTTGATATGCAGATAAATGAGTCATATAGCCTGGCAAACAATCACAACCAACATAAATCTAAACCCAGACATATAATAATTAAGATCCCAGACATATAGCATAAAAACATTATACTAAAAGCTCTTAGAGAAAAGACACAACTTACCTATCAAAGAATGCCCATTAGACGCATGGCAGACTTTTCAGCACAAACATTCAGGTTAAGACGAGCTTGGAGTGAAGTATTTCAAGCCTTAAAAGAAAACAATTTTCAACCCAGACTGATGTACCCAGAAAAAATTTAATTGAAATTTAATGGAGAAAGAAGATATTTCCATGGCAAAGAACAACTGAAGAAATTCATATCCACCATACCAACTCTTGAAAGAGTACTGCAAGACAAGCTAGATAGAGATAAAAATGCCCACAATCTCGAGAACAACAACAGAAAGAAACCACCAGACTGGACAAGAAATTAAACAAGGAAGAAAAGCAGGAAACCAACAACAGGAACACAACATGGTAAAGTCAAGCTAGTACACATCAGTGATATCCATGCATGTAAATGGGTTCAATTCATCTATCAAAATAAATCGCTTGACAGAATGCATCAAGAAACAGGCTCTCACAATATGCTGTGTGCAAGAAACGCATCTGACTCAAAAAGAAACTTATAGATTAAAAGTCAAAAGATGAAAAACAGTATTCCATGGAACAGAAATGCAGAAAAAAGCATGGGTAGGTATTCTGTTTGCAGACAAAGGGAACTTCTAACCTAAAATTATTAAAAGACATAAAGAATTTCACTACATACTTGTAAGTGGAAAACTACCAGAGGAAGAACTAACAATTATAAGTATATATGCCCCAAATAAAGGAGCACCCAACTATGTAAGACAAATACTAGAACACAATTGAAAACTAAACACCCCACTGTCACAAAGAGATAGATCAAGTAGACAAAAACTCAGCAAAGTTATACCAGAACTGAATCATACCTGTGAGTGAATGGACTTAGTGGATATTTACAGTGTTCCTCTCAACCACATCAGAATATACATTCTTCTCAATTGTACATGGGATATTTTCCAAAATAGACCATATATTAACCAAAAAAGCATTGTTAAGTAAATGCAAAGGGAGTGAAATTATCCCATGCATAATATCTGATGATAGTGCACTAAAACTGGAAATCAATGGCAAAAATCCCTGAAAAACCTGCATAAATACATGGAAATTAATTAATAACCTTCTGAATAACCAGTGGGTTACAGATGAAATTAAAGAACAAATAAAACAATACCTATATTACAATATAAATGCAGATACAGCATACCATAACTTATGAGATATAATGAAAGCAGTCCTAAGAGGAAAATATGCAGCAATAGAGTCACATCAAGAAAATGGAACAAGCACAAATAAATAACTTAATGCCACATCTCAAGCTTCTAGAGAAGGAAGAGTGAGTCAAGCTAAAGCTTGTAGAAGAGAGGAAATTGTAAAGATCAGAGCAGAAATTAATGAAATTGAAACTAAAAAAACACAAGAAATTAATGAATTATGGAGCTGTCTTTTTTGAAAATAAGCAAAATTGGTAAACCTCTAGCCAACCTTATCAAGAAAAAGAAAGAAAAAGCACATTCCACACAATAAGGATTGAAGAGAGGGAAATTGTTAGAGATTCCATGGAAATTCTAAAGATCCTGAACACCTACTTTGAAAATCTCTACTCATATAAGTTGGAAAACACAGAGGAAATGGACAGATTTGTAGAAATATATGAACTATGAAAGATCAATGAAGAAGTTGCAATAATTCTGAATAATCCAGTGTCAGCTACCCAAATTTTTAAAAATGATTAAAAACTTGTCAACAAAGAAAAGCCAAGGTCCTGATGTATTCATGGTTGAATTCTACAAGATTTTTAGAGAAGATTTAATGGCAATGCTCCTTAAACTCATAAATGAACTTGAAAAGACAAGCAGTCTTCCCTAATTCATTCTTGGAGGCAAGTATCACTCTGATACCAAAACCAGAGAAAGATCCAACCAAAAAAATGAACTATAGACCAGTCTCATTGAAGAACATTGATGCAAAGATTCTCACTAAAATATTGGCAAACAAAATGCAACAAATCATCAAGAAGATTATACACCACTGCCAAATGGGATTTATTCCAGGAATGCATGGATGATTTAACATAGGCAAATCAATAAATGCAATATATCACATCAACAGAGCCCCCCAAAATCATATGATCATCTCAATAGATGTAGATAAAGCTTTTAATAAAGTCCAACATCTATTCATGATAGAAACCCTATGGAAACTAAGAATAGATGGTATGTACCTCAATCTCATAAAGACCATTTATAACAAACCAACAACCACCATTATACTAAATGGTCAAAAACTGAAAGCCTTCACTCTAAAATCAGGAACAAGACAAGGATGTCCACTATCGTCACTCCTATTCAATATGGTTCTGGAAGTATTAGTCGGAGCAACCAGACAAGAGGGAGTAATAAGAGGAATAAAAATAGGAAAAGAAGAAATTATATTACCATTATTTGCAGATGATCTCATACTCTACATAGAAGACCCCAAAAACTCCATTAAAAGACTACTACAAGTATAAACAAATTCACCAGCATAGATGCATACAAAGTCAACACACAAAAAGCTTTAGCATTCCTGTACACAAAAACTCCATGAAAGAGAAATTATTGAAATATTGCCTTTCACAATAGCATCTAAATAAATGAATTACTTAGTAATCAACCTAACCAAGAATATAGAAGAAATTTGTACTACCCTAAAATTTATACTACTCTATAAAAGAAGATTGAATATGATATTAGAAAATGAAGGGTATTCCTTGCTCCTGCTTAGGAAGAACCAACACTGTGAAAATAGTCATACCCCCAAAACTGTTATACAGATTCAATGCAATCCCAATCAAAATGCCATTAACATATCTTATAAATCTAGAGAAAATATTCCTAAAATTCATCTGGAAACAGAAGAAATATAGAATAGCAAAGGCAATTCTTGGCAACAAAGGCAAGACAGGAAGCATCTCATTTCCTGACTTGACACCATAATACAAAGCCACAGTATTAAAATCAGCACGGTATTGGCAAAGAAATAGACCTGAGGATCAATGGAACAGAATATAAGATACAAACACTACTCCAATGATACTCATCCACCTTATATTTGACAAAAGGTCCAAATATGTTCACTGGGGAAAAAAAGCCTCTTTAATAAATGGTGCTGGAAAAATTTGCTTTCCACATGCAGAAGTCTGAAAATAGATCCATACCTATCACCATACACTAAAGTCAAAATGGATAAAGGAACTAAATATTAAAACAGAAACACTAAATCTACTGGAGGACAAGGTAGGGAAGAAACCTTACAGACATTGGTGTAGGCAGAGAATTTATGAATAAAATGCCAACCTAATGGAAAATTCTTCAAAGAATCAACAACTGGGATCTCATGAGTAAAAAGTTTTTCCACTTCAAAATAAACCACCATCAAACTTGAAAGAAAGCCCACAGAATGGGAAACAATTTTAGCCAACAATCCCTCAGACAAAGGACTTATATTTAGAACATATAAAGAATTTGAAAACATCAAGCCTCTCAAATTCAGAGACCCTCTCCAAAATTGGGCATCAAAGATGGGCACACTTCTCAGATGAAGATATACAAATGGCAAATAAATATAAAGATATGTTCATGATCACTGGTCATTAGAGAAATGCAAATTAAAACAGCATTGAGATTTCATTTCACCCTGAAAGAATGACCACCATCAAGAAAACAACTGACGACAAATGTTGGCAAGGATGTGAGGAAAAAGGAACCCTTCTCCACTGTTGTTAGGAGTGAAGATTGGTACAACCACTGTGAAAATCAGTATGGAAATTCCTCAAAAATCTAGGATTGGAAGTTCCATTCAATGCAGCTATTCCCCTCCTTGGTATTTTCCCAGAAAAATTGAAAAAGTCATATCACAGTGATACACGTGAACCCATGTTCATAGCAGCACAATTTGTGATAGGTAAATATTGGAAACAAGCAAAATGCCCATCAACCACAAAGTGGATTTAAAAGATATGGTGTTTATATATACTGGAATACTACTCACCTATAAACAGGATGATCTTGAGGCCTTTAAAGATAAATGGAGAAAACTTCAGTATATCCTAATTAGTGAAATAAACAAGACTCACATTAGTAAATATCACATGGTCTCTCTAGTGTAAGAAATAATAAAAACTGACAGACTAATCAGATCCAAAAATTATATTAGATATTGTAAAAGTGAAAGGAAAGGAAAGCGCTCTAAAGTATATAACAGTATACATACTGTGTAAGATAGACAGATGACCATATTACTAAATTTCAGTTAGATCATTAAGCAGAAGGGTTTACACTATCATTGTTTAAGTGTCTAGCCACTTTTTACGCTTTGATTTTGTAACTTTAGCAACTATCTTTAATATGGCAATATATAATGTATCAACTAGCTATTTTATAATGTTAATTTTCTTGAATTCTGTGTTATTCTACCTTTTTTGCTTTTTTCTATTATTGTTTAAATTTCCTTTTCTTTGTTTCTTTAAATAAAAAAAAATAAAGAAATGTTATTTCTTTGTTTTTTAAATTTTATTTTAAAGAGGGTAAAATTAAGCATAAAAATAGATTAAACCAGATCGGAAGCAAACAATGTAAGAGACACTGATTTCAAAGCAAGACAACTGAAGATCTTCACTATCTATCATAATATCTCTTGTTTTGCTCTAAATAGTTGCCCATATCTTCACACGCAATGAATTCATAGAAAACAAAATAGTATTAAACTGATCAGAACAGGATGATGAAGGCATTTTAGGTCTTCAAAACCAGACAATAGAGAAGTCAATGATGTCTGCCATAACGTCTCTGTTTCTTCAAAATAGCTGTCCATACCTTCATGTATGTTGACCTTAGACAATACAAAGCAGACTAAAATTCCCTCAACAAAGAATAATTAGTATTACTGGATTTCACAGCATGATGCTACGGATTCAGCACTGGGTATGTTAGTATCTCTTTTTTTTTCAAGGTAACTCTTCATTTCATCGTGCATTATAGAATTGACTCTCATAAACTGTTTAGGAGTTCTTTGCATGTATGAGTATCTACAAGAATACCTATCCTTTCTGTATTAGAGAGAAAAACAAATCAAAGCAAAACAAATTACTATTAAAACACAAAACAGAAAACACAAATAAATAACAACAACAGAAATCCGCAAACAGTGACAATACAGGATTTGAAAACAAGGTGATATGAGCATAAATAGAATTGTTATTTTATATAACGATCTTCAGTATTTCCTCAGATCAGCATACAAAATATGCACAGTTGTTCCAATCCTATGAATGTTAACAGTTTTGTTCCAAGAAATTATAGAATTTGTAGCACAACCATCTTAGCTATCCTGTGTTTAAATAATTTTAGATATTTTTCTCATTTCCCTTACTTTTTCTTTTTCCTCACTTCCCGAGTTATTACTTTTCCCCTTTAAGCAGATTCTTACCCTTTCACTGTATTTAGTTTTTGTATCTTGAGTACTTGTACCATTTCTTACACTAGGTAAAATATATGGTATTTACACATATGAGTTTGATTTATTTCACTTCTGAGTATGGTCTTGAGTTGCATCCATTTAATTTTAAATATCTCAGTGTGATCATTCCTTATAGCTGAGTAGTTTTAATATTTAGATCCTTGATCCATTTAGGCTTTTGTTATTACATGGTGATAGGAATGGGTCTAGTTTTAGTTTGCAACACATGGAGAGCCAGTTTCTCCAGCACAATTTATTAATGAAACTATATTTTCTTCCAGTGGGTATGTTTGGCCCCTTTATGAAAGATAAGGTTGTTGAGTGTGCTTGTGCTTGTAGTTGTATCTTATAATCTACTCCAATGATCTTCACGTCTGTTCTTTTCCAGTACCATGCTGATTTTATTACAGTAGCTTTGTAGTATAACTTCCAAGTCAGGGACTGTGATGCCTCCTGCCTTGCCTTTGTTGCTTAGAAATGATGTTGCTATTCTAGGTCTCTTCTAACTCCAGATGAATTTTAGCAGTGATTTCTCTAGATCTGTAAGACATGCTTAGTGGTACTGTGACTGGGATTGCATTAAATGTGTACAATGATTTTGGGAGAATGAATATTTTCACAATCTTCGTTTTTCCTATCCATGAACAAGGGATGTCTTTCCATTTTCTGAAGTCTTCTTTGATTTCTTTTTTCAGGATACTATAATTTTCCCTGTGTAGATCTTTTACTTCTTTTGTTATATTGACTCCTATGTATTTCCTTATTCCTGACTTTCATGTAAAGCCTTTAAGATTTTGGCCATTTAATATGATGTTAGCTATTGGTTTGTCATAGATGGCCTTTATCATATTGAGGAAAAAAACATCAATTCCAATTCTCTGTAAGGTTCTTATCATGAATAAATGTTGAGCCTTATCAAAAGCTTTTTCTGCATCTCTAGAAATGATCATGCGGTTCTTGTTTTTGGTTCTGTTGATATGGTGGACTACATTTACTGATTTGCATATGTTGAAACATTCCTGCCTTCCCTAGATGCATCACACTTGCTAGTAGTGCATAATCTTCTTGACAATCTGCTGCATTGTGTTTGCCAGTATTTTATTGAAATTTTTTACATGTTCATTAGGGAGACTGGCCTGTAGTTCTCTTTTTTGATATTGGTTTTCTCAGGTTGTGGTATTAGAGTAATATTTGCTTCCAGGAATGAGTTAGGGATAATTGTTTCCCTTTCAATTTCATTGAATAGTTTGTGGAGTGCTAGCATTAAATCTTCTTTGAATTTCTTGTAGAATTCTGTAGTGAATCCATCAGGAACTGTGCTTTTCTTTGTTGGTAAGGATATATTTACATTTTCAATTTCGTTCATTGAAAAGGGATTAATAAGCAGTTTTACATCTTCTTGTCCCAGCTTTTGTAATTCATATGTTTCTAGGAATTTGTCCATTTCTTCTGTGTTATCAAGCCTATGACAGCAGAGGTTCTTGAAATAGGTATTGATGATCTTCTGTATTCCACCATTTTCCTTTGCTTATTTTAAAAAAGATTAATATAAAAGAGGACATAACAACACAGGTCAGAACAGAACAATTTAAGCAACATAGTGTTTCACCACAAGACAACTCAACATAACAGTAGCTACTATAGTGATGCTTTTTTGAAATATTTAATATTTCATATTTAATATTTAAAAATACCTTCATATACTATAGTATCAAACATAACAAGACAGTGTAAAACAATCCAAGAGAATTAAAGTATTTCAGAGTATTCAGAGCCAACTAACAGAAAACGAACAATGGTTACTATATTATCTCCTTGTCCCTAAAAATTTTGTTTATACTATCACATATAATAAAATTCAACAAGATACAACATGATAAAACAGATGGAGACAGAAGAACAAAAGCTTGGTGGGACTTCAAAACTAGATGATATTAAATCAGCACTAGCTATTTTAATGTATTGTTTTTTGTTTTCAAAATAGTTGTTCATACCATCACAGACAATAAAATCAAATAACCCAGAATAAAACCATTCCAACTAATGAATGAAAACATTATAAATCTTCAAAGCAATATAATG